TTTATAAAATTGGCATTTATATCTTTTATATCTCAATTGTGTACTTTTTTTTTAAAACATGTTATTCTGTGTACGTTTTTACAATTATGTCTAATTTGATATACCGGCTTTCAAATGACCCTTTTTTTAGAGGGATTTGGAGGTTGGTTCCTAGGTCCAATAAAATTTCAAAAAAAAATCACTTGCTAATTTTTTTGGATTAGGTCCCTGTTAAAAAGTTAAAACAATAGACATAATTAACACCCTTTAAAAATTGCAAAAATAAAGAAAATATTATCACCTAATTAAAACACATATTCTAAAAAGTTATAACATGTACACTAAAACACAAATTATCAGACAGGTACACTAAAACATAGATCATCAGACAAGTACACTAAAATTAATGTACATTATTCTCCATAAACATAGATCGTTAGACTGATACACTAAAATATAGATCGTCAGATGTCATCATAATGTATGTAGCTTTTTCCTTCATACACACATATCGTTAAAAAATCTTATATAAGTTTAAATATGCATTAATATATCTTACTATGAATCACCTGATACTGTTGTACGATACTCAAACAATATTAAATTTAAGAATTGATTAGATGACATATTTTATGTGTTCATGCATATGCATTTTCTGCTTGGACATAATAGAATTCGATGTATGACGCCGCAGTGATGATCGAAATTCAGACTACGGGCACTTGCAGCTTCTTGTGCAATAGACAAACTCATCTTCTTATTTATAGAGGTCTTGTATCTCTCAGAGGTACACCACCCAGAGAAATACCTCTATACAGTTTTTATAAATATACAAATGTTGGTCCCTATTTTTCTTGTCGGTGGACATATGTATCTCTATATCTTCTGGATTTTGAGGTATCAATTTTATCTGAGTTTTTAGATCTTTGCTGCAATAACTTCGATGAATTTGATATTAGATTGTTAGGCTAAAAATGTGTGATGAGAACAAAATGAATAATGAAAACACAGTAATTGTCCTCAACCCTTTACTGATTTTTCACCAACACATGGACGACATGTAAGTTTTTTCAAGATACAAAAGACTTTTTTTAATACTAAAAATCCAATAGAACTAAAGTTAGTTTACGCACCAAATGAGGGACTCTAGCCGAATTTATTATTTTTTTTTTCTATAAGGGGTTAAGCATATTTAAGTAGCAGTGACAATCAAGTCATGTCTCTTGTATTCAGCCCATATCGTATCGAGTTTTTATTGAGTTTTTACCAAGCTATAATATTAAGTATCCGTAGCTAGGGGAAAAACAAGAAAAGTAAGTCAACCTTAATCTTAACAATTTAATTAAAAATGTCAGATGTCTTGACTGTAACCCGACATATTTATTAATCGTGTCATGCTTGGATTAAGATGTATAACACCTGAACAAAAAAAATCTAGGTCTATGATTCCTTTTTCTCTCAATTAAACCCCCCACTAGTTTATAGGTGTTCCATAAATTAAAAACACTTTATGATAGGAACTGAAACAAAAAATCCTCTAACATCATATTTGGTGAGGAAGGAAAATAAGAAAGATAAAAAAAATTAAATTGATTAACTTTTCTTCTAACTCACTAAAATCAATCCCTCCAAATTTGAAAGAAAAATGAATAGACAATTAATTATGTGTGTTAAAATGTATATTATTTACCTATATGTCGTTTAATATATGTATATATCATATTTATTTATTATATATTATGTACACGTTAATTTTATATATAGATATAATGATAAAAAAATATATCAATACTTGTTCTATTATTTGACTTTTTTATCCACCCTACCAAACACACCATAAGGCTCCACAAATATAATAAATGAAATGCCTAATTAAAAAACTAAAAGAAACTAAATAAAAAAAAACAGATATTTTTTTCATACAATAGGAATTAAAGGTTTTTTTTTTTTTTGGTTAAAATCGTGATATTCATGTTTAATACCGACTCGACTAATTTATTATTCATAGGTGGTATCACTTTTGGATTTGTATCATAACTAATCAACACTAACTAGTTTTACATTAGGTGTGTTTAGGTACTTATCCATATGTTTGCCATATTTTTGAATTGCGAGCGTATTAAAGTTTAGATACATTTTGATGAGCCAGGTCCAACGGTCCAATTCATGTTATAATTCTCGTCTAAATAAAGAATCTAACTAGACTACATCTAATGGGTCTAACCCAAAATAGGTACACACCTAATCAAGCTCATCAAAGTTCAAGGGGCTACATCACCAAAGGAGTAGGTAGGGTCATCCCAAAAACCTCATCCAAGCTACCTTGGAGTAAAGACCATCCCAAGACTCTCATACAAGCCACCTTAAAGTAAGGGTCATCCAAGAGCCTCATCCAAATCACCTTGGAGTAAGCGTCATCCTAAGAGCCTCATCCAAGCTACCTTGGAGTAAGGGTCATCTACGCCGCCTTGGAAGAAGTCAACTACTACGTCATCCTTTGACTGGAGTTTATGAGAAACACTGTAACTGCCTCATCTGTTGAGAAGATGGTGTCAGCTCTACCAAATTAGCTTTTTAATTACTGATAAGCATCCTCAATCTGTTAGGAAAACAACTATAAATTGTAAGACCCGCCAATATTTAGGGGGCATCACACACAATCAAGGACATTTGTTATCACTCTCCCCTCTCTTTCTTTCATAGCTTGTNTTTAGGGGGCATCACACACAATCAAGGACATTTGTTATCACTCTCCCCTCTCTCTCTTTCATAGCTTATATTTCTCTGCTCTTCTTACACTCATCGAAGTAATAAAACACTCAGAGCATCCTTACCCTTCAAAGTGGATGTATGTCACGTTGACCGAACCACTCTACATCCTTGTCTCGCTTGAATTATTTTTTCTTTTTACTTTATTACTGCATTTATTATTAATCACTTGACTAGTGGTGCATAAAACTTAATTTGTGCATCGATAGTTTGGCGTCGTTTATGAAAATCGATAAAATTCTCACCTAATCACTTTTCTTGCTGTACCTAGCGATCACCACCATATCCATGAATCAACCCGAAGACAATTCACCACGAGAGAAGGAGGTTGCCCCTTCACCAACCAATTTTGTTTAGAACGCACAATAAATGTTGGAAACAATTCAGTAGCTCGCGACTCAGAATCAGTAGATCTTGTAATTGATGCTCGTTGGGCAATAAGGAGGAGCATAACTCGGAGGGCATCAAGTCAAAGGAGCTCTATGCCTTAGGCATCAAAGATCTCCCCATTTAGGTGCCCAAGGGGAGCCCTTTGTAAGAACCATGAGGGAGCTCCACTTCCTCCTCCAACTCCTTCTTCCTATGGTGGAGACCCTCATTTCCCAGAGGATGAGGGCAAAAATCAACGTGTAGAGCATGAGAGCCATTCCCAGGATAATTCCAAAGGAGCCCCAAATCACTTGGACGAAAAAATCAAAGAAGTACTGAATCAACTTGACGACGTCTTCAATGCAATGAAGGCACAAGGACCAGAAACTGTGGAGTACTTCATAAGGCGAACTGACACACCTTTTGTGCTAGATGTGACAAACTACCCTTTCCCCAAAAGTTTAAAATGTTATCTGTCAAAACCTTTGATGGCACAAAAGACCCATTGGATCACCTTGAAACTTGTAAGTCGTTGATGCAATTGCACAATGTCCTTGACGAAATCATGTGTAGGGCTTTTCCGACTACCTTGAAGAGATCTGTCCGACAGCGGTTCGCCAAACTCATCCTAGCCTCCATATGCTCTTTTGCTGAATTAAGCAGATCCTTTATGACACAGTTCATTAGTGGACGCCGCCAACACAAGCCTGTCACCTATTTGCTCAGCGCAAAACATGATCGAGACGAGATTCTGAGGAATTACCTCATTCGTTTTAATGAGGAGGTCTTTTAAATCGAGGAGCTCAATGACAAAGTCATCATGACCGCCTTTCTGGGAGGCTTCCGCTCATCGATTTTCTCTTTTTAGTAATGAAGTGACCACCAAAGGGAATGCTAAAACGATTGACAAAAGCTCAAAAATATATGAATACTGAAAAAATCAACAGGTCCAAGTGAGGTGAATCATCTCGCAGGTTGCCAAAAGTTTGACCTATCTCTGCTATAATCTCAAATAGGTAGTCTATGTCTCCAGCTTAGCGGTTCTCGTGAGCCGCCAAAAGCTGGACCTATCTCTACTCTACTCTCAAGCATGCAACCTATGTTTTCACCTTAGCAGTTCTCTTGCAATTCTCTAAAAGCCTGACCTATCTCTACTCTGCTCTCAAGCAGGCAGCCTATGTCTCCAGCTTAGCAACTCTCTTGCAGGTTGCCAAAATCTTGATCAATTTCTGCTTTGCTCTCAAGTAGGCAGTCTATACCTCTAGCTTAGTGGCTCTCTCACAGGTTGTCAAAAGTTCGGCCTCAAAACTTGTAGCTCTCTTACAAGTAAACCTCAGCTTCTGCCTTTATTCTCATGCGGACAGCCTCATAGTTAACCTACCTCCAACTTATCGACTCTCTCACAGTCGCCAGAAGCTCAGTCTCAAGAGTCACAGCTCTATCACGAGCAACCTCAAACTGTCTTTGCTCTCACGTAAGCAGCCTCTATTTCTTTATAGGCCGATGTGTCTGTCCCTTTCTCTAAGTAATCATGTTAGATATTTTGATGTTCGAGTAATATTGTTTTTGTTATCTCTAGGCACGCTTTTGAAACTCAAGCAGTCTGTAACCTGAAGGATTATATTAGATTGAATGTCAACAATCGGGTCTCATCCTTTTTGTAGCCATTCGGCATCGCTGCCTCGTTGCCGCAGTGCTCCCGCGCTTAACACCTAGTGCAAAACAAGGCATGCGTGCTCTTAACACTAAGGATTTGGCACCTGTTTCTGGCACCAATCTCATGGCGCCTCCTCCTAGTGCCCTATCTCCTGGAGCCCAATTCCTGGCGTGTCCCCTTGTGCCGCCAAACTCGCAGTGTCCCTTCTTCCTACATTTGCGCAGCCCTATGCCCAGCATCCACTGCTACCACTCCTGGCTAACCCAAACATCGAAGATCCAGTCGGCACTACCTGTTCACCAGGCCGTGCCCAGTGCCCAGTGATGTCGTTGCGTGCTCCCTTAGCCGAGCCTAGCCCACGGCGATGCCCTCTCCATGATTAGCATGCCCACCAGCCAATGCCTGGAGCGTCTCGCCTTTAGCATCCTAAGTCGCCTTGCTTGGTGGTGCCCATGACGCCTCGCCCATGATGTCTTCACTCATCCTCGAGGCCTAGCCGTGCCTTTGGCACCTCACACTAGAGCCCACTTATACCCCCTCGATGCCCATGGAGCACCAAGGCTCACTAACAACCACTGCCTTGCCGACACCAGCCTGCACGTCAGCTTCAATGTTGATTTCTCCGTCGTTACCTACCTCCTCTCCAATGACAATGACTTCTTGCATCTCCCCGTCCTTTATTCGAAAGCGGTCTCCAGTCACTTAGCTCATGGAAAAACCTCTTTGGCCTCACTCAACTTGTTACCACTCATGGTCATGAATTGTATCAAGAAGGAAAAGGGGTTATCAGTCAAAAGGAGTCTCCATCAAGCAGAATTCAAATTCAACCAAATGTCCTCTTCTTCAAGTTTCATTGGACACAGGGCAATAGGGAAAAAATAATGGGTCAAGCTCAAGGGGCCAACTCTTGTTATAAGTCCAATCTGAATAAAGAATCTAACTAGACAAGATTCAATGGATTCAGCCCAAAAAAGGTTCACTCCCAATCAAGCTCATCAGGGTTTGAGGGGCTACATCACCAAGGGAGTAGGTAGGGTCATCTCAAGAGCCTCATCCAAGCCAAAATTGAGTTTTATGCACCACCGGTCAAATGATTAATAATTAATGTAGTAATAAAGCAAAAAGAGAAAATAATTCAAGCAAAACAATGATGTAGAATGATTCGGTCAATGTGACTTACGTCCACTTTGAAGGGCTAGGATGACTTGAGTGTTTTATTACTTTGAGGGGTATAGGAAGAGCAGAGAGATACAAGCTATGTGAGTAGGTGGGGTCATCCCAAGAGCCTCATCCAAGCCATCTTGGAGTAATGGTCATCCACGCCGCCTTGGAAGAAGTCAACTACTACGTCATCCTTTGACCGGATCTTATGAGAAGCGTCGCAACTGCCTCATCCGTTGAGAAGATGGTGCCAACTCTACCAAATTAGTCTTTTAGTTACTGATAAGCCGATTCAATCTGTTAGGAATGACTATAATTGTAAGTCCCGCCAAGTACATTTGCTATCACCTCTCTCTCTCTCACACACACATATAGCTTGTACCTCCCTATTCTCCCTACACTCCTTAAAGTAATAAAAAATTCAAGTCATCCTAGCCTTTCAAAGTGGACGTAGGTCACGTTGACTGAACCACTCTACATCCTTGTCTCGCTTGAATTATTTTCTCTTTTTACTCTATTACTGCATTAATTATTAATCACTTGACCGGTGGTGCATTGAACCCAATTTGTGCATCACTAAATGTAAAATTCAAATATATACAATCTTATCTACTCGAACCAAATCATGATTGTTCAGATGACTGTAGAGAGGTGTAAAGTTACATATATATTCTTTTCGGAGTAAAAAGATAAGTTGGTTATATGAAGAGTTTTTGTAGTTAATCGTGGATCATTTTTCAATGGTCTAACCTCTGTTATTTATAAAGACAACTCTTAACCGTCAATTCATCACCACAACCTCCTCAAAACCATTACAATTTTACCACCTTCGTTACCCCACAAGCATCACCACAAAAAAATATTGGGCGTAACCATTATTGAAATGTCATATAGTATAATTGAATAAATTAGCAAGTGAACCTTCCAAAAATTCATAAGCAAATTTTTGTATAGATTACTTCTTTTGCCGTCAAAGTACCTATCGTATCAATTCATATTTGGTCACCAGAAACCCAACTATATAATACACAACCATCTTGATGATTAAATAGTTATACCACAACAATATTGTTGGCAAGGCGTAACCGATAACCCCAATATTTACTCCATCACCACCCCCCTCCCCTGCAAAACCACTGCCACCCCTGTTGCTGCCACCGCTATAGTCATCACCACAGTCACCCGGCCACTAAAAACCACCACCACAACACCACCACTAACCCACCATGACCAACATTGCCCCAACCAAAGCCTCCCTCCATCATAACCACCATCACCCCCACCAACTGGTTCCCATTTAGAATTTTAGATGTGGGTCAATAGATGGAGTTAAATATTAGAGAAAATCTCTCCCGATTCATCCGACTCCGATGGTCCCACGTAGTAATCTTAGACCAACGGCCATTAGTGGAAGCCCACACATAAAACCAACCTGTAAAGATAATAACAGCATAAACTTTGGATGGGACCCACGAATAAAGGGCCAATGAAAACTCATACACGTTTCATACTTATCTCCGCCGGAATCAACGTGATGCGAGAAATCCACTCGATCACAGCCACGGCTCTCGTGTGTGCTGGATCCCACTATCCTTCCGCCTTTAAATCAGGAAACCACACCCACCAAAAACCCAGATCGCCTGATACTATTTTTAAGAAAATCAAATTCTCTCTCTAGAGTAGCAGTTCTCTTTCTCTCTCTAGAAAACATGGGGAGTTTTGAGCAGCAAGTGAAGGACAGAGCGAAGGAGCTGAAGACCTTCTTCAAGAAGGGTGTGAAGATTGTGGGTGATTCGTGCAAGAAAGGATGGGACAAGGTCAAACACATCAGAGGCTGACATACATATATATATATATAAATATTTTCTGTTTCTTATTATGGAAATTGTTCATTGTAGGTTTGGTTTTTTAGGGTTAAGGCTAATGGTTTTTGTGGGTTATTCTATTGGTTTACATGAACTCTTTGGAGTTTTGGTTTTTTGTTTTCTTCAAGTATTGTAATTTTTTGGGTTTTGATCTTTGCTGTTAGTTTTGGATTGAATTTCTCCATGGATTTAATTAATTTATTTGAAGGATTTTATTGATGTAAACTGAATTTATTATTATCTGATTTATGTCCCTCATTATTCATTTATTTGGTGGTTTGTATTTTTGTGGGAAGATGGTAGGTTTAATCATTCATTATTAGTCGAGATTCGAGTAATCGATCATTGCTGTTGGACTGACTTTAAAATCGTTGATTCGAAACTCATACGTCTTCCTCCCTAACCAAAAATCATTCACCATATGTAAATCACATTTATTTTTATCATACAAATGTTTGTCCCCAACTAATTAAACCTTTTAAACTACTAAAATGGAGATCTAGGGCCTCATTTATATATATTTTTTTTTGGAGTGTTTTAAATCGATTTTAAAATTGTTAAGATGGTAACATATCAATTTAAGTCTCAAAAAATTATAATTTGAACATTAAAAGTAAAATATTTATATTTATTTTTTGTCAAAATATAATATAATTCGTTAATACGATACAAAATTAGAAGGTTTGAACTTTCTTTAAACCACTCATTTTATTAACGAGTAGGTCTAATATAACACGATTGACTATAAGTAAAATTAATCAAAAAAAATACATGATGTGACTTATTTATATACATATTGTATATAATACGAATTCAATATAACACGATTAATTATACACAAATTAATAAATAAATGAGATATAAGTGAGTATTTTTTACACACACTTGTTAATTTCAACCCACTAAATTTAATATAATTCTATATCTATCAAAACTTACATCACGGTGAGCTATAGTCGTTGGATCAGTGGCATTGCTCTTAAATTTATGTAACATACAATTTTTTTTTTCTCTCCCGTCTGGAATATGCCCAAAATAACAAATAGCCAACAGGCTTACGTAACACGTAAACAGCCTGTCACTCTACCAGTTTGACAACAGAGCTTCATCGCATCATCTCAAGCTTATCTCAACTCTCACCCACCACGTGTCTCTTCTGGGTATCCATTTTCCATAATATTCCTCCAAATTCGAATATGCATTTTCCATTCCCTAGATCCACCTGTCCTCTCTCCTACCATAATACATCACAACCATAATCACATGCCGTGTAATCTTGAAGGGGCGCGCAAGTTTTGCATATCTGAGTGCTAGTCATTGACGGTGTACTCTATTACTGTAGTCCAATAAACATATCAACATTATTTATTTAATCAAGAGTAAACTACACGATACCCTTTTAGTTTGGTAAAACAATACCATCGACCCCTTAACAATCGAAAAATGAAATAGAACCCCAAGATTTCTATGGGATAACCTGGACATCCATTTATATGTTTAGGTATCGTTTGATAACGCTTTCAAAAGTATTCTTTCGCTTTTATATTTTTTTTAAGTAAAAAAGCAAAAAATAATGTTTGTTATCACAAAAATTATAAAATGATCCAAAAAAACAAATAAAAAAAATCACAAAATTTGTAATGGTGTTAAAGTACCAATTTTTTTTTTTCCGATAGTGTAGAGTTCTTCCTTTTTTGGTGCGTGCCATAAATGACTTATCTCTTGATATTCTAGCTCATATATCATATTAGTTTACATTCTCTTGACTAGCATATTATTATGATATTTCGATAATACATATATTAGCAGTGGGTTGCTTTAAACTTAATTTGAGTTTTTTTTTTTTGGGTTAGACATTATTATCAAAGAAAAAGACGACGAAATTTGAATCTTTGACCTTAAATTCAAACAACAAGGGTGGTGATCATTAAGTCAACTGCAAACTTACTCAATAAGCTTAAGCAAACCTCAGCCCCGAACGGCTGCCCAACTTGTAAGGGATCTTCATTAAATACTAAGAGGTCGTTGTTTCATTTTATCAAAACTCGGGGGATGTTAGTGAAATTTATCGTTAAACTAAAGAGCAATGCTGAATTTAAAAATTAAATTTGATAATTTTAATCATTGAATAGTCCAATAAATACTAAAATCTACCCTAAAATCAATGATCGAGATTATCAAACTTAATTTTTAATTACACCTGACATTCCCGTAAACTAAATCACAGAGGGAATTCTTACCAAAATTCGGTTAAGAGTCGTTTTAGTTTCTCTTCTCCGTCCACCTCCCTCTCTCGCTCCCTCCCTCCCTGCCTCCCTCTTTCAGTTTGTCTCTCTGTATCTGGCTCGCTCGCTCGCTCTCTCTGTCTCTCTCTCTCTAAACATATACATGTATATCTCTGCCTGATCTTCCATTTCTGGCTCTTCTTTTTCTCTCCTAGAGCTCAAAGTAATCTTCTCTGCTATGGAAATGGAGATGAAAATGAAAGGTTCCTGCTCGATTTTTGATATGTCTAGGGTTCGTGAAGGACTACTCGCTGTGGATCGAATAGCTAGACGATTTCCAAAGAATTCTATACAGTCTACGCCTCGAAGTTGTAAGTTTAGGGTTTGTTAAGAGTACGGATTAGGGTTTCGTAATTTTCCTTTTGGTTCTAAGTTCTCATCAATTGAAGCTGAAATTCAAAACAGTTGAGATCAGATTTCCCAGGAATTTAATGAATTCCATGCCTTTAAAGTGGGCAAAAAAATTAGAGTTTGATTTTAGTGGTTAAAGGGGCTCTAGCGTTTGTTGTTAATTGAAGCTGAATTTTGAAAATTGAGCTCTATATCTTAGGTTTTTCTTGACTTTCATGCTTTTCGTTGTCAAGTTCATGTTAAGGTTGCAACGTTTGTGGCGTGTGCGGTGGATAGGGCTCTGATATTCATAATTTTAGGGGATTTGGAATGGTTGTTCTCTTGGAGATAGAGATGTCTAGTGTGATAAAGGGTTTCATATAGTTGTCGAGGGTTCTATGCTTTTGGGGACAGTTTTGGATTTGAAAGGTTAGGGTTGTAGAATTTGAATGGCGGGAAAGACGGAATTAGGGTTTCCAAAGGCAAGTGCTTGTAGTTTAAGAGAGCAATTAGCAAGAACGACGCTGCGTCATGTGAGATTGCAAGGGCACATCTATGTTGAGCTTAGGGAAGATGGGAAGAGATTCATATTCTTCTGCACATTGTGTCTTGCTCCATGTTATAGTGATTCAGTGTTGTTTGATCATTTGAAAGGTAATCTCCACACTGAAAGATATGCTGCTACTAAAGCTACGCTGCTGAAACCGAATCCGTGGCCATTTAATGATGGTGTACTTTTCTTCCATAGTTCGTCTGAGTCGGACCAGCATTTGTCCACGTCAGAATCTAGTCATATTAAGCCATTGGATAATAAGAGGGATGATGAAAATGATCTTGCAATTGTTCGTTATGTTGAAAATTTAAATCCCAATATTGATGGACATATTTCACCTGATGGGTCTGGCTGTGAAAACAGTATTGATTCTTTAGGGGCTGACGTGGATTGTGATAAAAGTTCCTGTGATGGGGGTTTGAATGGTAATAGAGAGAGTCATGATTTGCTGATTCCAGGTGTTTTGTGTAAAGATGAAATCTCAGATTTGGCAGTGAGGTTTATGGGTGTTGGGCAAATTGCTGCTAGGTTCTGTGAGAAGGATGGAGTTTCAAATGGAATGAGAAGAATTTGGTGCGAGTGGCTGGGCAAGAAGAATTCCAGTTATGAGGGCGCCCTTATTATTCCAGACCATGACTTTGCAGTTTTGACATTTCCTTATAACTATGACTTAGGAAGGAAGGGGTTAATCAATGATGTGAGATATCTGCTTACATCTAGTTCTCATTCGGATTTCGAGGGACATGGAAGTGCTAGAAAGAAAAGGAAGTCGTTTTCTGATCCAGAAGATATTAGCGAGTCTATGAGCAATCAATACGATTCTTCTGGGGAGGAATCTCAGTCATCAAACACTGCCAGTTCAAAATTGCAGTTGGATGAATATGATGACCAGCTTCTGAGTTCAAAAGCTATATTGAGCAAAACTTTGAGGAGAGAGTTGAGGCGACAGCAGCGTGTAGCAGCTGAGAGAATGTGTGACATCTGCCAACACAAGATGCTTCCAGGGAAAGATGTGGCAACACTCTTGAACAGGAAAACTGGAAAACTTGTTTGCAGTAGTAGAAATGTGAATGGGGTAACTATTTTTATGCAACTTTTATCTATTCTGTTAGAGTAATACTTTGATTTATGCTAATGTTGTTGGCAGTGCCTATATTCGTCAAGATACGCATTGTCGTATGTAGTTCTGCTCTATATTTGACTTAACGTTTACGAAAATTAATTTTTTTCCCCACATGCAGGCATTTCATGTATTTCATATTTCCTGCCTAATACACTGGATACTTCTCTGTGAGTTGGAAATTCGTACAAAACTGTCAGTTGGTCCTAAAAAGAAACGGAGATCTAGGAAAAAGAGTGGGGCTAAATGCAATGAAGTTGGAAAGAATGGTGAGATAAAAGCTACAAGAAAGCAAATTTACTCAGTTTTCTGTCCAGAGTGCCAGGGCACAGGGGTAAATATCGATGGAGATGAACTGGAGAAACCAACTGTCCCTCTTTCTGAGGTTTGCAAATTGTGGCTAATTTCCTTTTCCCTCTTCCTTTGTTTTTTATTTGGTTCGAAACCTTGATTTTGTCAGCGATGATGTTTTCTTGGTTTGAAACCTTCATTATGCCATAATATAATTTGTGAATATGCTCTAACAGAGTATTCAAGTTATTGTTATCTTTATTCTAAGCTTCATCCATCATTTCAGATGTTCAGATATAAAATAAAATCTAGTGATGCCCGCAGAGCATGGATGAAAAGTCCTGAAGAGTTGCAGAATTGTTCCACAGGATTCCATCTTCCTTCCCACTCTGAAGAAATGTGTCAGGTTCCAAGATTTCATATCAAAATGTTCTACATAAACAGAAGCAGAAATTTATTATCATTCATATTACCTTGTTTTTGAGGGTAGATATTTGTATATTGTTATTTAGGTTCTTTTAAAAATATAAAGTTCTAGCGGACATTAATACTAGGCCTTCAATTGGTAAATTTCAGGAAAATGTGTTGCCACTGAAGTTGCTGCACTTCTATCGTGCTGATGAGTAGAGCTGGGCTACAGACTCACAGAAGTAACCTCTTTAAGAAAAATAAGGATAAAAGCATATAGATCTTAGACAAATCAAATTTCATTAACCGGTTGTAATGTCATGATTCTCATGAAAACCTAATGGATAGTCCTTGGTGTAGGAGTAGGTGCATCAGAGAAATTTGCCGTTGTGGATTTCTTTGCCATGAAACCAATGTATATTCCTGTCATCAGAAAGAGGTACATATGGTAGTGTATATTTCAGTTTATCTTCGATTGTAAATGACTTGTTGGTTAATGCCACGTTGACTCCTTTATTTTGAACAAATTATTGTATCTCAAGTTTATTTTCTTTGTTGGTGCACCGGATATTTTAAATTTATCAGCCAAAGATTCTTATGTGATGCTTAGAAGATACTCTTCATGTCCATTGGTGTTGCATCATCAGACAAATACCTCATGTTCAGTATTGTTGGCTGTACATCAAGTGTGTAATTTAGCAACTGTTTTTCCTCTTGAATTCTAGATATTACGCGAATGGGAAATAATAACAAATGGTTATATTATATATGAACTGCTTGGTAGGATTTCAGGATGTTCATTTCTTCATGCGATGTTTCCCACCCTATTGATCCCAGCACTGACACTAAATCCTAAACCCCTGTGACCATAAACATAATGCGAAGCAACGTTATTATTGAACGGAAAAACTATTAGCCCAATGCGAGGTTTTGTAAATGATTGCTTGTCATGCGGGTGTGATTGGTTAAAAAAGACCGGCCGAGCAGGCATTCCCAGATGGGTACTATTGGGTTGTCAAGAACCATTGTCCGATGGCAGACTAACCTACTATAGTATTACGAACTAAGATTTCACATTAGTTCTTATATGACTTGCACTGGTCATAATTTACAACAACATTGTATGAAATAAGGCTCATTTACTATCTACACATGATAGTAAACTTAAGTAATAACCCCAAAATGCCTTTCAAATCTATAATCCATTATACTATAATGAATGATCTAAATTATTTCGACATTGTTTGCAAAATTTGATGGATTGGAATAGTCTATTAGAGCATCTCTAATTGTAACTTTAATTTTTATTTGAATTTGAGTTAATATTTGAATAAAAAGTTTAATTTGTTACTAATGAACAAACTCAAATTTAAGGAGGTCTAACCCTTAGGATTAGTCCAATAGTTAAATTTGTTTTCTAATAAACAAAAGGTCTCAAGTTCGATAATTCTCACATTTTTTAAGGGCTAGCTAGACTTGTTCCTTAGGAAACATGTTTTTAAACTAGCTCGAGCTACAGTGGTTGGTCCCAGAGCTCGAGTAAATAGTTGGTGCAAGTTTAAACACCTTGTAGCTAAAAAAAAAAGAGCAAATCCAAATTTAAAGGAATATAAATATAATTATTGAATCTTTAAAAGAGAATAAAATCTGACTATTTGTGATTTGAGTAAATATTTAAATTTTTCTTAGTTTGGTATGAATTTAACTCTAGAATTAGAGAAAAATTACAGGTTAGTTTTACCGAAATTTAAACTTGAGTCTAAATATGATAAAAGTGGAAGATGCTTTTATAACCCGACAATATGGTCCAACGTAGATATGACAGTATAACCAGTGTTTCGAGGCAATCCAAGCCCGGTCAAACCGTTGACTATGTTTATAATTTGTGAAATTTGAATAAGTAGACGACCATTACCCAGCCGGCGGACTCGATCTCTGAATGTGCATTTGCCGTTAGATTGCTATGGTAAGAAACATCTGCCACAATTGTCGTAAGATTGTGCTCAGTTTATAAGGTTCTATATGTATAGTGGTTGATGAGATATAAGCCGTAAATTAGTTTATCTATTGTTTAGAAAGACTCCTTTGGGCATATCTGGTTTGAGTGTTAAGTGGTAAAATTTAATTAGATTAGTCCAACGATAACTTAATACAACTATGATTGGATCAATTGAAATACAAATTGTTAAAAACTAACTTTATGCTATAATGTCAAGTAATACCATACATACGGTAAAAACCAATCACTTGCGACGGGTGACATAAAGTCAATTTTGATTGGTTTTAGAATTGAAAATGATGAGATGATCTCTAACTAGGTTTTGTATTTGATTGGACACGAGGAGCGCTTTTTCGCTTTTTTTTATCTTAGTATAATATATCAATAATTCAAATATAGGATTTGTGTTGGTATTGCAACACTAGACTCAAACTTTTTCTTAACCTTGAACAAAACATGTTGTAGATAAAATAGTGGATCGATTATTAGAATCGGTATGATTTGATTTATTTAGTATCATATTATGCCCGAATCAAACTTGCTCGTAAAATATCACTTGGACAGATAAACATTTGGTGTCTATTCAGGGCCGACCTCCCATGTGCCGGCACCGGCATGCAACAAAACATCACCTTTTGACATTTCAAGTAATATCAACTTTATTAATTCATTACCAAATCCAAGTGCACAAGCCGGCCCAACATTAACACAAGGAACAACCACTAGTTTAACTCTGAGCATCACTATATATATATATGTATCTTATGTTTAGCAAATTGTAGGTATAATCAAACATGGGACATTGTCAAAAGCTCAAGAACTTCATGTATTTTCTCATGGTACTAGCCATGGTCTTTCTACTTATTGACGAATCGCAGGCACGTTCACTGTGTCAGCTAGAAGGTACAGTATTGAAAAACGATATTTCTAATTGGCCAAGACGGAGAGAGTTCATGACAATGCTTCCGAAGGGTGAGCCGGTGCCTCCTTCGGGACCAAGTCCTGCCATAAACTTCTGATTCAAGAACTCTATTTTCAATTGGAATCGTTCGACATCTGAATTTTGTTTCGTGTAAAATTAGCAAGTGAAGTATTTATGAAATATATCCATACCCTACAATATCTTGTTTATGGAATTATCTGTTTTATTATCCTTGATTGTTTTTCCATTCTCAAACGTTATAAAAGGGTTTATTTTATTGATGGAATCTGGATCTTCTTGCTACAACATTTGTATTAGCAAAAATTGTAGAGCTAGAAGGAGTGTAGGTCAACATTGTAATTTTTACTTCATTAATTAAACTAATTAGCAAGGCTGACGTTTGACTGGAAACACCTTACATAATAAAGTTACTACACTAAACCCTCACCTGTTGAGTATCCACATACTCAACATTGCATGTTAGTACATTGATCCTCTCGTTTACCTCTAACTCTACTCTCAACCCTAATTCACCTTTATAGGCTCAAAATACAGTTTTTCTTGGGACCAAGAAAACATAAATTTGTGGATGACCGCTCGAGCAATAAGAGAGAGGTGAGAGGGTGACAATTGTTGAAATGAAAAAAGAATTCAAACCAAGGCAGGGGAATAGGGACCGCAAATTGGATTGTAGTCTATATTTATTACTATGTGAAAAAATTGATTTGATAACCTGACAAAAAATTACCTAAAAAAATCTATTTACTATAATTTTTCAAATATTGTATAAAATAACGTATTTGGTAGCAAATTGAAAAAAAATGGGTAAAAGTGTAATTGATGTCTGTAAGAAAGGGTAAAATTGGCATAAAGACTATTATTGATGGAGTTTTGAACTTATTTGAAACAAAATATGAGAAGTAGGACTTGCTTGTCTAAATGAAATTGGGTGGGGAATCTACATCTCCACCCCATTAGATCTCTTTCCCTTGTAATCAAACTACTAAACTCATCAATTGTATATAATTAATTAAACTACTAAATACACTCATTGTATCTAATTAGAGATTAATTTTACCACATCCACACTCGCCCCATTTTATATGCACCCATGGTAGCAGTGACGACGATGGGGTAGCAACAGTGGACTTAATCGGTGATGGAGTGTGCCAAGATTAGGTGGACTTAGTTAATAATATGATAATCATAAAAAGGGATGTATTTATTGATTGATGAGGTTAGTATAGATAGGAGTGGACAGGGGATTTAATGAGGTGGGGATTGAAATTTGTGTAGGGATGGCAGTGGACTGAATTGGGTGTGGGGAGCGTAGTTTTCATCCTCATACTCGCTTAAAAAAATTCTGTCAATCCTCGGTCCACCCCCGTTAACGAGTATAATTTTCATTCTCATCTCAGTCTGCAGGTAAATTTGTAATTCCCGTCCCCGCCTTCACCCCCGCCCCCGCCTCTGCCCCCATCCACCATATCTGTCCCAGGCCAAACCCAAGCCCAAGTTCAAGTTAACATAGTTCAAAATTTTAAATAAATCTAACATTCTAAATAATCTAACATAATTATAATTAAAAGCTTGTCATCTACAACATAATCTAACACAATATAATTAAAACCTTGTCTACAACATAATTCAATATAATATAATTAAAAGTTTGTTTCCCATGTAAATCTAACACAACATCATGCAAAAGCAATATAATTTAACATAACATAATCCAACATAAAAACGCAAAAATCTACACTTTTACAAGCCAAAAACATAAAAAAAAATAAAATAAAAAATAAAATATTTTTCAAAAGAAAAAATTATTCAATAATATGTAGATTTGTATTCACAATAATATGTATATATATGTATATATACACACACACACACATATATATAATAATAATAATAATGGGTAAAACAAGGGCAGGAGTAAGTGTCAATCCGTCTCGCTTTCATTCCCGCAAAGGTTTATACAGTATTCTCATATACGTTCACTGTCTAATACGTATGGTCTATTCCCGGTCCAAATAAGATATGTTTGGACGAATACCCATTTTTACACGGATCACTGTCATCCCTTGCGGGCTTTAATAAATGGTATTTTAATTAACAAAGTGGAATTTATTGAAAAGTTTTCCAAATAAATTTTATTAAATATTTCAAAGAAATTTTATTTAAAGGTGTAAATGGAAATCAGATGAAGTTAGTAGTTAGTCTAATGGCCACCATTAGGCTAACCACCGTTAGTGGTTTGAACTTTATCGTTTCCTTTCTTGTAATAATACCAAAAAAAAAAATCAGATGGCACGAAAACTCACCCTCATCCAACTAGACTGATAATTAAGTCAAACTATTTGAATTTGGCTCGGTTTAAACAAAATAAACTCGACAAGTTTGACTCGAATTTGTAAAGCTCGACTCCATTATCAGCCCTCCATCTAGTGTTATTAATCGAGTTGAGCTTTGCGATGTTAAACCCGAACCTATTGAGTTTGTTTTTCTAAATGAACTATAAAAATTATTTAAACTCAACATGTTTAGAAAATGAGTTGAGTCAAAGTAGCTCAATTATTTTATATATAAATGAGTACAACTTTGTAAGCTCGAACTTAACTTTTTTAATATCATTTTTTTCAAATATAGTTAAAAAATTATTTAAGTTCAATTTATTTAAAATATAAATCAAATTCAAATCAAATTCTATCCAAATCGAACCCGAATAAACTCGTGAGCATTAACGCCCCTCTCTACGTCCAACTGATTCACTGACCGTAGCCCAATAAGCCCATGTTTTTGTTTACTCCAGCGCCTATCCTCTAATAGACAGCAGGGCGATTCACACGCAAGACATGGCGAATTGGGTCATAGTAGAGCTCAATAGAAACTCCACGAACTGCACCAAAATAATCGAAGACATAGTGAGGATAGAGAAAAATATCTTCCCCAAGCACGAATCACTTGCTAGATCGTTCGACGATGAACTCAGAAAGAAGAACAGTGGACTGCTTTACTCAGATGTGAACGGTGAAGTTGGAGGTTATGTCATGTATTCATGGCCTTCTTCTCTCTGTGCCACCATCACAAAACTCGCAGGTTTCCATTCTCACCCTCTTTCTTTTAATTCTTATAAATTCCAGAGAGAGAGAGATGTATTGGTTTTTTGCCTTTTTCTGTTTTGGTTCGGTAGTATTGTTGACCCCTTTTGGATGAAATTGTCACGGTGGAAACTTGAAAGATACCCATTGAAAAAAATGAAAAAAAGTTGTATAAATTATAAAATAAGAAAATTTTGGTGGATAGGAGATTGATTTGAAGGCATGCTTTAAGAATTTTGTAAAAAAACTGGATTGTTACCTGAGGGGTTATTGGAACCCTGAATGTTAAAGTGGGAATGAATTTGGAATGGGAAATTTTTTTTTGAGAGGGGGGGGGGGGGAGGGGGGAGGAGGAAATTTCTGTGCTTTGTTTTGTTTGGTTCAACAGGAGCTGATCTTCTCTCGGGAGACGGTCAAAGATAGTCATTCATGCCGAAATTAGGATATTTGTGGATAAATCGTCATTGCCTGCCCCAAGAGATTGCGGAGATTCAAACTCAGTTCGTCCCTATTACAGCTTGAGCTACCCTTGGCTTAAATTTCTGTGTTTTGTGTGAACTTGGCAGAAGATTTGTGTATTAATTTATTCTTTATGTGCATTGTTATTTCCTTTTCCATGGCAATGGGATTGATTAAGTGAAATTTTGAAGGCACCCATTTGGTAGAACTATCTGTAATGCAAAGAATTGTTTCTGGTTTTAGTCCAAGTGGGTGCCTTTGGTTCTTATTTGTGGAATGAGACTATTTTTCACTGCAAAAAAATACTTTCAATTGCCGCAAAACTTGTTTCGATATGTATTATGTTATTATGAGGTCAATCGGGACAATTTTCTATTGTAGATCATAAATTTTACATGAATTGGTTAAACCCCCAATTTCAGAATTTGATATTCTTTACTTTCCAATGATGGTCTTTTGTTTCTACAAAACAATTACCAGTGAAGGAAGATTTCAGGAGGCAAGGCCATGGGGAAGCATTGCTGAAGGCTGCAATTCAGAAATGCAGAACTAGAAATGTCCAGCGCATATCGCTCCATGTTGATCCCACAAGAATTCCAGCCCTGAATCTCTACAAGAAACTTGGTTTCCAAGTGGACAATCTCATTGAAGGTTACTACTCTTCAGATCGAAACGCCTACAGAATGTACTTGGATTTTGACACTGACTAGTGGAACTCAAACTTTCTGCAATATCAACATGCCGAATCACCATCCAGCAGGATAACAAGAAGCATTATGATCAAGTCAGTGCATTTTCAGTACTAGCTCCGTTGAACTTAAGAGCTGATGTTGTTGTCCGAGGGTATGATGGATGCCATAGCTTCTAAGTGGCCTCAACAGCACTCTCTTGATGCTGCAAACTCCAAGTTCAGTGACAACCAATTATTCCTCTGTTTTCGTTTTGATTACGCCTGTTTGTAACGCAAGATATGAATCGAATGTGGTAAGTTTACATTAGCAAAAATAATCTTTTCTTCCTACTTGTCAGCAAAGCCCGTATAACAGCACAATTTTGTGAGTTACTCTTTCCTCTTATTTTGATAGAATCTAATCATGCTACCACAGCTGTGTCCTCTACTTCTGCCGAATAATTTTGTTGTTATCTGTATCAGCTGTCTTTGAGAATTTGGGAAAGTAATTGTAAAGGCAAGTAAACAGCCTTCAATTTACCCGTGGGATGGTAGCTTTATTTTTTTAATCTCTCGACTCTAGTTGAATAAGAAAGTCCTCATATCTTATAATTTGTGACTCTCTCTGATGCAATCCGTAGGATGCTAAAGAAGAGAGAAATTCAAACATACGAAGAACTATTAAATTTGACTTTTCATCAAGATAAAGACTCGTGTAAAACTTTGCATAATTTTATTTGTGTCTTATTTTTAATTTAGTTTGATTGTGTTTAACATTTTGTATGTGTTAGAATCAAGAGTATTTATGTAATTTCTAGAATTTTTGAAATTGGTCTAATTTGGCCACGATTTGTCTTTAGGATCAAATTCTAATATTGTATATGTTACAATTTACAGTCATAGGTCTAGTTTATTTTAGTTTTTTAATTGAAAAATGCTATAGAAACCCAAATGGTTGAAACTCAAATACATGTCATCTATTGGATGAATGTTGAATAAGTGGGTTTCACTGAAAAAGTTGATGGGATTCACTTATTCAATAGATAATATGTATTTGGATTGTAATTTTTTTGGTTTTAATTAGGTTGTATAAAAAGAGAGAGCGAGATATTAAAATTTTCAGCAATTATATGTTTTTGAATTAAATTATTTAATTCTAACTCTAGGTATGATTCCTAAAAACCCTTGGAGTAATTCCTAGTCAAATTTAGTATTCACAGCATTATTACTATTCATGAATACTATTCAAAGTCCTCAACACAACAGCCTTAATTTTAATTTGGCATAACTGTCCTGCATCACTCTCTCCGACGTAGCTATAAACATAAAGATAACAGACATACAAGCTCTATCTATCAATGGGCCAAATAGAAAAGGAAATAAGAAAATTTAATTGGTGAAGGATAAAAAACAAACCAAAAATGTTGCTGCCCAGGATCGAACTGGGGACCTTTAGTGTGTAAGACTAACGTGATAACCACTACACCACAGCAACTTATTGTGTGAGCTAGGTGTAATATAATATAAATTATTAAAGATAGTGCGCACATATGAGTGATCAAATACAGTTAATAATATCTTTAATGATATATATTTAAGTTACTATACCACTACCCTTTATAACCTTTTGGTAATACAAACAAAATCTTTTCTAGGGCAATTTTTCTTTTAACTACAGCTTGTATAAACCGTTTTGTAAAGATTGTTGACTTTATAAAAAGAAATAAATTTTGTTTGTTTGACTAAATTTTAAAATCAAATTATGTGGACCAATCTAGACTTCAAGGACCATTGGTATAATTTACCCTATCTTTGTTGATAAAATTGATTCCATATACCTTGATTTAAGTGTTTCTACAAGATTTGCAGGCTATAAAGCTCACTTCATCTGCCAGCATCTAACAGCAATGTCAAACGAAACATGTAGACAGAAACCTACTCTTCTATTCTATTCTATTCTCTCTCCATTTCCCCATATTCTGGGGGAAGAGAGGAAGAAAGCAAACCAAGTTTTAAAAGCTCATATTAGCTCTACTTCATTTAGGGGGCAACAATCAAACAGCTAATAATTCACCCACAAAATTTACAACAGAAAAAAAAAATAGTAATCAAAAAAGGGACAACTAAAACAAACTAATGTTGAGATACTTGGGAAAACTAGAGTAAGAGACTATTAGAGAAGGGGAAAATGCTCTTTCACAGCCTATGCTGCATACAACAAAGGACCAAAACAAAGCTGCTTTTATTCTGCATTACTAGTGGAAAAATACTTTAAGATGGAACGATGAATTAGTGGGAAAAGTGGTTAGAAACATAGAAATTGGATAGTCATCAGGCACTTGAGGCTGATTCAGTTACGGTGACCTCCTCGCCTTCAACACCAGTTGAATCCTCCAGTTCGAGTGTTGCATGAGCACCATTAGTAGCACCATCTTTGGCAGGTGAAACAGGATTGTCCCCGGCAGTAGCTGGAGATGGTGCTGGGGTAGTATCTTTCCCATCTATAGCATCTTTCCCATCCTGGGCTGCTTTCGGGGTAGCAACTTTCCCATCCTGGGCTGCTTTCGGTGTAGCAACTTTTCCATCCTGGGCTGCTTTCGGGGTAGCAACTTTTCCATCCTTGGCTGCTGTTGGGGCGCCAACTTTCCCATTCTTGGCATCCTTCCCTTCCTTTGCATCCTTGCCATCTTTTGCAGGTGTCGGTGGGGGAGGCATCATGTGAGGTGGTGGGGTTTGCTTCAGCTTCACAAGGATTTGCCGCATCCTTGTCAGATCAGTGGGTTTGCCAGGTTTCGGGCCATGAATGACCACAACTGAAGGCTTCTTTTCATCATCCTTCTTCCCTCTCCTCTTCTCAATATTAGGGACCTCACGAGGAATGAGCTCTGCAATTGCTTTCCAATATTGTTTGTCAACTTCTTTGTGGAACTTCTCTTTGTTGGCCAAGTAGAGCTGCACCAAAACAGTAAGTCATTTGTTTCAATGCAAAATATACTACAAACACGTAAGAGGAACATATTACCAAAGCTGCCAAAAATGTAAGAGGAAATGGATAAATCATATTTGGTGGTTCTACCTTCTCACTTTCTCTGTTCTGAGCCTTGTTAGTTTCGCAGTTGAGCTTTCTTTTCTCATAAAAAGATCGCTTGTACTCCTCAGCTTCATTGATGATCTGATTTCTCATCTCCTTCTCCTTCTTCTCCTTTTCCTCGAGGTAGATGGCATTTTGGCTGCACTAACAGATTGAATAAGTCTCTAAATTACATAATGACCTGGATATCCAAATGAATTCTGAAATCATTGGACACGCTATTCACCCTTCTAATGGTAGAACCATACAGGACCATGCAACCCGAAATAACAGAGAACAACATCAACAACAAAATTAAGTACAGGCAATCTGATGTATATCGTATTAGGGAAGAATTAGGGATGAGAAGGGAAGAAGAAAGGGATTAGAAAAGAAGAACAAGGAGATGAGAATAGCGAGAATTTTAGAAAGAAAATTCAATATCAATAATCAATAATCAAAGTCTACCCAAAACAAATAACATATCTCATATATATATAGGGAGACCACAAATCCTAAAAGAACTCTAAAAGAAATAAATAGTCATAATGACAACTAAACTCCTGAAAAGTATAATGACAAATAACTCATAATTCTTACGCCTACGCCTACTATAACGAAATATAATCCGATTCTTATCATTTCCCCCCAGCTGAAAGAACTCGCCTCCGGAGAGATACGATCATGATATGCTCTAGAAGATCAAGGTCAAGCCGACGAAACTCCTCCTCAGTAATCCACGAATCATCAATCTCTGAACGATTTTTCCACCGAATAAGATAACGATGATATCCTACATCCGAGGAGCCCACAATCTGATCATCAAGTACATCTGCGATTTGGTCATGCAGCTGTGGTGGAAACAGTGAAAAAATAGGAACTGTAGTTGATGCTGATGACGAAGCAAGTCCACTTGTAGGAACACCTGCTGGAAACATAGGAGGCTCAAAAGTACCGTGATAAGGATACAAGTCCTCCACATTAAAAATAGGACTAATACTCATATTCGAAGGTAAGTCAAGGTGATATGCATTAGGTCCAAGCTTACGAAGAATACGAAAAGGGGCCAGTGGCTCGAGCATGTAACTTTTTGAAATAATTTTTAGGGTAACGTTCAGGACGCACACGAACCATGACAGTTTCCCACAATAAATTCTTTATTCCTACGATGAACATCTGCAGCCAATTTATAATTCTCATTACTTAATATAATTTTCTGTTTTATGTCGGCATGCAAGTCATGAATATGCTGGACAAAAGCTTCGGCTGAGTGTGAGGGACAGGAATTAGGAGGTAAAAGTAATAAATCAATGGACTGTCTAGGGGAATGACCATAAACAATCTCAAAAGGGGATAGACCAGTCGTCCTGTTGACGGAGTTATTATAGGCAAATTCAGTAGTAGGTAACAACAAATCTCAATTTTTCATCTTCTCATCCACTAGACACCTAAGCAAATCTCCTAAGCTACAATTGGCTACCTCAGTTTGACCATCAGTTTGGAGATGAAAGGCAAAAGAAAACTTAAGACTAGTTCCATAGAGTTTTCAAAGTGTCTTCCAAAAATAACTCACAAACTTGACATCTCTATCAGACAAAATGGAAATAGGCAACCCATGTAGTCGGACGACCTCTCTAAAAAATAACTTTGCTACATGTGAGGCATTAGTAGACTTAGTGCAAGGAATGAAATGGACCATCTTAGAAAACCTATCCACGACAACTAGAATGAAATCATGATTACGGGTTGTTTTAGGCAATCCTAAGACAAATTCCATACTAAGGTTTCTCCATGGTGTGTGTGGAACTGGTAATGGTGTGTACAACCCCATGTTTTGTTTCCTAGCCTTTGCTAACTAACAAGTGCGATACTGTGACACTATCCTAATAATGTCACGTCTCAAAGTGGACCAATAAACCTATCCTCAACAAGTGCAAATGTCTTATTCCTACCAAAGTGGCCTGCCAAACCTCCCGCATGTAATTCCCAAATCAGGAAATCCCTAATTGAAGTATAGGGAATACATAAGCGCGACCCTCTAAACAAGTAACCATCTCTAAGGAGGAAGTCAATGTACTCATGACAGTTACCAGACTAAACCTCCTGAAAAATGATACCAAAGTCAGGACAAGAGGTATACTCATCTCTAATCCTGTCAAAGCCAATCACATGGACACTCATAGTCTGTAAAACAGTAACTACACGGCTAAGAGCATCCGCAGGCTTGTTTTCAATACCCACTCGGTGGTGAAGAACAAAAGTATACTCCTGAAGGAACTCAACCCACCTAACGTGCTTAACACTCAATTTTCTCTGGGAATGAAGGTATTTTAATGCCTGATAATCAGAATATAACACAAATTTAGATGGCAATAGATAATACCTCCAATGGCGAAGAGCTTGTACCACAGCGTAGAACTCTTTATCATATGTAAAGTATCGTTGTTTAGCTTCATTGAGTTTTTCGCTGAAATAAGCAATAGGATGACCCTCTTAGACTAAAAACTCCACCTATCCCTACACCAGATGCATCACAGGCAACCACAAACACTTTAGAAAAATCTGGGTGTTGAAGAACAGGTGCCTCTGTCATCCTGTGCTTAATTTCTTGAAAGGCTCTAGTTGCAGCAAGTGTCCATTGAAACTCCCCTTTTTTCATGCATTCTGTGATAGGAGCCATAATGGAACTAAACCCTTTAATAAATCGTCTATAGAAGGTGGCCAAACCATGAAAACTTTGAACCTCAGAACTTGTTCTTGGCACTGGTCAATCCCTAATAGCACAAATTTTCTCTGGGTCAGCTGCAATACCATGCGCAAAAATAACAAATCCAAGGAAAAACACTTAGAGTTTGCATAAAGGAGCACTTCTTAAGATTCGCATAGAATTTTTTCACACATAATGTCTACAAAATCTGTCGAAGATAATCCAAATGCTCTTCTTTAGACTTACTATAGATCAAGATGTCATCAAAGTAAACAACCACAAATTTTCCTAGGAAAGGACGCAATATCTGAGTCATAACCCTCATAAATGTGCTAGGTGCATTAGACAATCCAAAAGGCATGACCAATCACTCATAAAGTCCATCATGGGTTTTAAATACGGTTTTCCATTCATCTCTTGGTCTAATTCGGAATTGATGATAACCACTGCGCAAATCAATTTTGGAGAACCAAAGTGCACCAGCCAAAAGGTCAAACATATCTTCAAGTCTCAGTATAGGATATTGATATTTGACTATAATTTTGTTAATGGCACGGCTATCAACACACATTCTCCAAGAGCCATCTTTCTTAGGGGTCAACAAATCAGGGACAGCACATGGACTACGACTATGACGAACAGACCCTTTTTGCAACAGTCCATCCTACTTGCCTTTGAAGTTTAGCACGCTCAGTGGGATTCATATGATAATGGGGACGATTAGGCAACTGAGATCCTAGAACTAAGTCAATAGCATGCGGAACATCTCTCATCAGTGGCAACTCATCGGGTAGTTCCTCAGGAATCACATCATGGAACTTTCTCAATAGACTATCAACCTCAGGCAAAAGATCGTCTTTAGATTCCAGAGAACTTTGAACAACTTCTTTGACAACTAGAGCTACTATTATATCAGACTCTTTTCTCTCTTTTTCAAATTCTCTATGGGTCAAGATGTGAATGTCTTTCTTGTGAATTACTGGAAAAGATGACTTATGCTTTGAAGTATTACTTTCTGAGGGTTTCGCAGGTTTTAACGTAATGGTTTTCCCCTTATGCTTAAAAACATAGGTATTTTTCCTCTCATAGTTTATCACATCTAGATCAAAAAGCCACAGGCGACCCAACAAGACTTGAGCGACATCCATAGGTAAGACATCACACCATATATGATCTGAATAGTCAACAATCTGAATAGGGACCAAACATCTATGTGAGAGTGGTAAGGAGGTCTTGTCAACCCATGCAACTTTGTAAGGTTGTGGGTGTGTCTCTGACTTAAGCTGCAACTGAGCTACAACTGATTTAGAGATGACATTCAATGAACTTCCCCCATCAATGACGACCTTGCAAACTTGACCCCCACATCGAACTAGAGTATGAAAAATACTGGTGCGTTTCCATGCTGTTGTGTCTGAAGGGGTGGATAAGATGTATCACATCACACTGACACAGGTGTCATCGGTTTGCCACTCTTCCTCACCCTCATCTAGTAACTCTAAGGGCTCCTCATCCAAAGAATCAACTTCTTAGTCAACATCCTCTCTGTCAAGTGAATTCTCTAATCTCTGGTCAATGGTCAAGGTACGCTGAGGGCACTGTGAAGCAATATGACCCTTGCCATGACAACGGTGACACTCTATGAAAGAACTGTCCTAGCGAGAACCTGTGAATGTAGAATCTCGACCCCTAGTGGTATTACCTCTCAAGTTGGGGTAATTGTTACCCCTGGATGTGACAGGGCCTGACTGGGTGACGCCTCGAGACCGATCAAATGGGACTGACCTTGATGGTTGAGATTCTCCGGTTTGAGAAGGCATTCAACGCTGAAAGGGTGGCCTAAGGTATTGTTCAATCTCTAAGGCTTTATAATATGTTTCCTCAACCGTTTCAGGAGAGTGTAAGTTAAGCTCTCTCTTAATCTCAGGTCGTAAGCCATTAATGAATTTTGTAACTGTTACCCAAAGCTCTTCCTTTATGTCACATCTTAGAAAGAGCTCTTCAAATCGAGCTAGGTAATCAATCACACTCGAGGTCAATTGACGCAAGTTCATCCACTTGTCCAAGAGTTGGCGCTTATAATAACTAGGGAGATATTTATCTCGTAATCTTTGTTTCATCTCAGCCTATAAAGTAATGGGTTGTCCCTCTAGGCGCTCTTGGTCTCGTTGGACTCCCTGCCAATATCTTTTAGTCGAACCAACGAGTTTCATTTTGGCAAAACGAACCCGATGGTTGTCGAACATATCATACCAATCAAAATAGTCATCCATGTCATCCAACCACTCTAAGAAAGCCACAGGATCTAACCTACCATCAAAGCTAGGAGCGTCCACTTTGACTCTTTGTGTGATATCCCTAGATTCTTCGTGGACATGCCTATGTCGAGGATTATGATAACACGGAGGGGGAGACCTATGGTATCTGGCACGTGGGCGAAAGGGCTCACAATAACCATCCATATCACCCTCTGCTGAATAGTCAGACATGACTATTTCATCGGGATCCTCCTAAACATTCCTACAACCTACGTTTCATCCAAAAACGGTATTAGGAGGTGTCTTCCTATCTGGATGCTGTATTCGGCTCCCCTGAGCTACTTGCGGAGTGGGTAGGACACCTTGACATGAGTCAACAAGATCTATCGGAAGAGACAGGTGCCGAACATTGGATACTTGGTTAGACTTAGGTGAAACTTGTGACTCACTCTGGTTATAGTCTATTGGTCGTTTTTCCATAAACTTAGTCAATTGGGCTAGTTGAGTAGTAACTTGAGAAAGTTGTTGCCCCATTCCTTTAACTTCCTCACGTAACAAGTCGACTGATTGTTTAGTATCGGTCATATCAATGGTGAGGGTCTCAAATTTTTGTTCTAATGCAGTATGGGATTCTGAAAGCTCACGAAAGGTCATAGTGAATGTAATGTAAAATTTGGACTAATGTAAATGGCCGACTAGACTAAAAATTAAACCAAGTAATAAAAATTATAAATTAATGCAAATTGTCACACATAAGAATAAGCTTATTGTAAAAAGGCTCAAATAAACGTGAGACAAGCAACAATGGATTTAACAAGAAATTAGGTAAGCTAAATTATGAAGGTAGTGTGTGGGAACAACAAACAAAGAAGGTTATGAAGGTGGTATGCAGGAACAACAAACAAAGAAAGTTTAGGTTTTTTGTTTGACTTACCAACAAATATAAATAGTAGTCACCAATTCTCAACGAAAAGAACTCGTACCTAGTGTTAGATGCAACTCCAAGAGGATACTTGACAAGTTAGGGGATGATCTTACAAAGTGTAGAACTTTCTGGGGTGTTTCTGTAATTTTTGAAACTTCTAGGGTGATGTTTCTGTAATTTTCTGAACCTGTTGGGACGTTTCTGCAATACTGAAATTTCTAGATGATAGTTCTGCAATTTACTAGAACTTCTGGGGTGATTCTATAACTTTCGAAAACTTATGGGGAAGTTCCTGTAATTCTGGAGCTTTATGGGGGTGAAAAGGTTAAAACCAATGTCTTCTTCCTTAACACGATGGAACGAGGAAGAAGATGAGCAGCGATGAAGTCGAAGCAGCACAGGTCAACGACGAAAACAGGCGCAATGAACAGTAACAACGATGAATAGTGCACAATTATTTGTATTTTTTTTATGGAATGAGACCAGAACACTGCTCACGATGAATTTTTTTTTTTTTTTTGATTTTTTTTTTCTAGAACAAGAGCGATGAACAATAAGAATCTGCCAATTTTTTTTTTACCTGGACAGCCAGTGAGCAGTGATTTCGAGCAAACAATTTTTTTTTTTTCTTTGATGAATGGCGTTGTTGAGATTTTTGTGATTTGTACGAATCAAAGTTAAGCTCTGATACCAAATTGATCTACATCGTATTATGGAAGAATTAGGGATGCGAAGGGAAGAAGAAATGGATAAGAAAAGTAGAAAAAGGAGATGAGAATAGAGAGAATTTTAGAAAGAATATTTAATATCAATAATCAATAATCAAAATCTACCCAAAACAAATAACATATCTCCTATATATATAGGGAGACCACAAATCCTAAAAGAACTCTAAAAGATAAATAGTCATAATGACAACTAAACCCCTGAAAAATATAATGACAAATAACTCATAATCCTTACGCCTACGCCTACTATAACAAAATATAATCTGATTCCTATCACAATCAGTGTAGCTTTACTTTCTAGCTCCACTCTAAAGGCTATGAATGATAAGGCTATATTGTTATATGCTCAGACTTTATATGTTAAATTCACAGAAGTTACATCAGTTTCTGGAGGAAGAAAAAAACCAGAAAAGGCAAGATTTTACAAGGAACACTCCCCTAAAAAAAACTTCGGTGGTTCATCCAAGCAAACAAATCATTATAATAAACTAGCTCAAAAATGACTACTTTACTACAAAAATTCAACTAACTGGGAGGTAAGAGGATGCAAATCTTTAGATCCCAGTTTACTGCTAAGTGTGGACCTTTCTAACAAAAAACACCAGTATGAAACAAAATTGACAGCATTGCTCACAATTTGAGGATAAACCCACCCAACCTTCGTCAAAAGATCAAAGTTGCTTATTTCCAAGATAGGGATGACAAAAGCGAGGGCCAAACTTGGCATCACCATGACAGAACACTAGACCTCCTTTAACCTTGCCTTTTTGAAGAGCCCTCTAGTAATTTGGGTGATACGAATCACATTTCCTTATCTGATCGACTCGAAACAGTATTAGTTCATAATTCCACTTCTTGGCATTGGCAAATCCAGAAAAAGAAAACAAATGCAAGTTTTTAGTAGTTTCCAATCCATTAATCTTAAAATCCAACCACTAGAACAGTCAAAATTGGGAGCTATCATAGGTTGTTTCCAGAGCAAACCCAGATTCTCAAGCACTGCATGCCTCAGAAGCAATTGAAAACTCTATGGCTTCTCATGGGAATGCAATGAATTTAAATCCAGTCCAGTTGAGACTGTTGATAAGATATAATAGTACAACCTTCCATCTCCCTTGTGAAAAATATAGTCCAGGAGGAAGCCATCCTAGACACATATATGATATTTGATAAATCAAACTGGTGAAGAAGAGGCATTCTGGGAATGCAGTATGTGATGAGGCTGCATTTTATTGAACAAATCTAGCTAAGCACAATCTAAACCGACATTTCTCGATGGTCTTTTCTGTTTCTTTTTTATTGTTATAGTCCCAAATCTTCCTCATTTTCTTGGCCCTAACTTCACTTGAACCCCTTCAAATCCCACAGAGATGTAATCAGTGAGGAAAAAGAATACTCTGGCTCTGCAGAAGTATCTCCTCCTCTATACAATTAACCGTAGGTACACAATTCAAGAACTAAAACCTGCCTGGTGCTCACATATCCATCTGCGCATTTTAGACCTTCATTGCTGGGCAAGAAATTGTCTCAAATTGGATGAATATTGACAAATGATTTTTAATCTTGTCTCAATTGAACATATGATAGTAGATCTGATTAATTAAAAATAGAAAATGCTACATAACTCAAATAAAACTCAAAAGTTAAAACCCAAATGCATTGTGGGATGAGTGGGTCCCATTGAAAAAATTGATTGGACCCACTCATACAAAAGATGATATGTATTTGGGTTGCAACTTTTGGATTTCATTTGAGTTTTGTAACATTGCTCATTGATAATAAACCCAAGATCAAACTCACTATTAGAATAAAATCCAACAAGCCAAAAACACCAGATTCTACCAACTCCATCTAACTCATTGGAATTCTACTAAATATTCTGCATCAGAGTTGAATCAACCATAACATATATGGCATTATAAAAATTCCACTTATTCTTACTATATATAGAAAGGCAGAGTACAGATTCGTCTCCACTTGATGTCTCCCTCTCACAACCGCTCATGTCTCTAAGATTTCCACTTTCCACTTGGTCTCTATTATGCAAACACGCACCTAATCACCCATCTCAGTCTTCTATATCTCTAATTAATCTATCCCTCCTCAAAAAGTGAACAGACTGATTTCAAAAAATTCCAAAGTTTCAAAGAATTGTCCTATTAAGAATGAGTAAAATTTGCACACGGACCCATTTGCCATGATTCCTAGAAGTAATTTGCTTGCAGAAAGGCTAGGAAAAGATTAAAGTTTTTGACATAAGTCATACCTAGTAGCAAATTCATGATTTACACACTAAAATCTGAAAACACCTTAAATTAAATACAGGCGGCCCCACTTCAAGTTCAAAGAAAAAAAAAATCAATGAGAACACGATCCTCTGTTCTTTTTGGCAAGCAACCGAACGAGTTTGGCTAAGATCAACCATTAAGTTTGTTTTCAACCTTAAAAATTCAATCTACTTTTGAACGCCAACAGATTAGAGGAGCCACAATATACCCAGATCTAAACAACACAGTCAGTGTAATTGAGAGAGCTCAATTTCCAAATATGATCCATATAATTCATTCAAAAATTATATAAATATAAAAAATTCAAATTCAAGAAAGAAACAGACAAATGTACCAAAATAAGGAATAAAGAAAAAAAAAAAGCCTCACCGACGCCACTCGCGAAAAGCAGCACCTTCCTCGCGCATCTCGGAGGGGTCTGGGAGCACCGGCCCATCGGACGACGTAAATATCCCCTCCGTATCAGCTCCCATATCGTACGGTTTCGCATTGCCATTCGATTCATGACCAAACGGAGACTCCTCAAACGGCGACGCAGTGTATTGATCGTGGATCGACACCGGTGGCGGCGAAGAACCGAACCCATAGGTCTCAGCTGACTGCATGTCGTTATTGTTAAAGGAGTGGACGTCGCCGCCGGAGAATTCGTTTTGGTTGTAGATGGGCGGTGGAGGAGCGTCGTCCACTGCGACGGAGTCGTCCGCGGGAAGGTCGAACTCGTAGCGCTGGGAGGCGAGGTGAGGATCGTAGCCGCTATAGCCATCGTTGTCGAAGGGACCAGAGGTTGGTTCTACTTCGTCGCCACCGTCGTGGGTCATGCCGTATGTGTCATCGAAAGACGCCATTGTTGAGTTCTCTCTCCCTCTCTCTCTCTGTTGTGTATTCTGTTCAGATCGGACAAAAGCTTGGGAAGAGAGCGGTGGATAGAAAGTCTAACTCTGCGAAAATGATAAAGTGTCAACGTGACACGAAGCAAACGTGATTTGAATGAATCTACAGTGACAAAAATGACTAATAAAAAAATATAAAAATTAAAAATATTTTTTTTCTATTTTTCCACTACGTGAAAAATGGTTCTTCCATTTTTTTTTCTAGAATTTTTTTTTTGGTCAATTTTTTTTTTTCTAGAAGTTGACTACGGTACTTTACCTCCATTTACCAGTTGTGTATATACTTTCATCATATTTATGGGTTATTTTATTAATATTGTGGTTTCCAAAAAATAATAAAAATAATTGCCAAAAATACTACAAATATGATAAATTTTTTATACAAAAAAATTTAATAAAAATAATTATCACAAATGTGGTGTTTGTAACACCCACAAAAATAATAAAAATATTCACAAAAATGGTAAATCACCACACAAAAATAATAAATTTTTTAATTGTAAAATGATTAATAAAAATTTTAAAAACAACCATTAATATGATAAAAGTTGGATGTAAGTTACTAAAATTATATATGTAATCTATAATTGATAATGAATCGTGTCATATTATATCCATACGTTATTTTAAGTTATATTATATTGTGTTAAAATTTATTCAACTCTTATTTGAGTCATTTATAATTATGTGCAGGCAATTTCCAATTAAGCTCGACTAGATTTGTATTAATCCATTTATTTAACAGGTATAACAAATTAATTCATTTACTATTTAAATTCGATAAGATTAATGATCCGTTTCGTACGATGAAAAAGTGAAAGGATGGAAAGTTAAAAGGATAAATAAAACATCATGTTTGGTAAGAAAGAAAAGTAGCAAGGATAGAAAAGTGAATAAATTAACTTTTTTTCCAACTCATTAAAATCAATCTCTCCAAAATCGAAAGTAAAGTGGATAGAAAGTTAATTATTTATATTGAAATGTATCTTATTTGTCTATATATCTTTATATATATATATATATATATATATATATATATATATATATATATATATATATATATATATATGTATATATTAATTTCATATAAAAATACAATGCTAAAATATGTATATATATATATATATATTTTAAAAAAAATTTAAAAAAATAAAAAAAATAAAAAATTAAATTAAAAAAAAATGTTCATCTTAACTAAGGGTGAAAATTTTCGACTCAACACGATGACACGACTTGAACTCAATACGAAAATAAACAAGTCAACTCACAACTCGACATGACACAATTAATTAAATTAAGTTTGACTAATATTCGACATAAACCCGTAATAACTCGATGCGAATCTGATATGACACGACTCGATTGTCACCCTTAATCTTAGCCAACACAAAAAAAAAATAGTTATTTTTATTTTTTATCCATCCAACCAAACACAAAAGAAGGAAAGTGTATTCTTCATATTTTTCATCCTTGAAGGATCGAAAGTGTATCCCTCCTACTTTTCATTCTTCCTACTTTCTGTAAAAATAAAAATTAAGTTTTTAAAATATTTTAATTATGTTTAAATTATGAATTTCAGTTATAATTATTTTTCCCTATGTAGTGTATATATTAAAGAATAATAATTATTATTAATTTTATATGTATTCAAGGCCAAACAATAAAAGACATTAAAAAGTCAGGTTACACCTAGAAGCCCAACGGTCAAAAAAAAAAAATCATTGAAAGACATTCAAAGTTATCTTGCGTACGTTAACAGAGTGACTATATAATGGCTTGGAGATATCATTTGGTAGAAGAGGGAAAAAAAAACAGTACAGGAGCCCTTCCTTTTGTTCATTTTAGTAGATTTTTCAATTGCTCATATCAATTCTTTGGGTCTATATTTTTCAATTATCATCTATTACTTTATTTTTGGAATAACTCGATTCGAGTCAGATTCATTTCTACTTTTCAGTGGACGTGACCATTGAGAAGGTGCTGCTGCGAGTGTCTGGGTTGAATCTCTGGTGTCCGTCAGTACCCTCACGTGGGGAGGCTCAGCTGGTTTAGGATAGTGATCACACACGTCTCTCGAACTCACAGACCAGCTCATTCTAAATCTATTTATTTGGTTTATATAGATTACATGTTTATATATGTGCGTGCAAGATCCTGCACAATATAAAAAACGAGAACAGATCTCTCCCTTGGTGAACTTCGAGTGAGCCGGTTGAGTGACCAAACACGCTGCTTGGAACAACCTGCAAGGTACGGTGGTAACCTGGAACGGCAACGGGAGATCCTGGGAACGGAAGAACGATCCAGTAAGGCTGAAAGAGGTTCCTGAAACAAAGAAGAACAGGTTAGAAGGACGCCAGAGTGTTTTCCGGCGTATCCCCTCCGACGATCTAGTCAGTCTTTGAGAGAGAGAGAGGAAGGAGAAAACACTGAGTGAGTATTGTAGTAGAGGGTTTGTTGTTGCATACCCGCTTTGCCTTTTGCAAGGAGTATTTATACTTTAAAAGCTCATGATTGCTGTCAGTGTGGTCAGTAGGTGATCATTAGGCACAGGTAGCGTGCGCATTGATTCTGATGAGGAATGTCTTCTCTAATTAACTGCTCGGGGTCCCGAGCAATCAATGTTGGGTCATCGGGATGCCGACGGTACAATGTGCTCCTCTCGGGGAGGATGCAATAAATGCTCTGTATTAGGAGCATTTATTGTCTTTCATTTCCTAACCTTACCGCATTGAATGCGGTCTCATCAAGGGAATGGTGCAATTAATTGTTTGCTTTCCCAAGTCGCGTGTCAGCAACGGCATGCGGTTTGTCTGTCTTTGATGTGATATCATATGCCACGCGTCCATCCCCTATTGGCTGTGACCTCTGTATTCCAGTACGTTCTGACATTACTTGTGTAAGACGAGGTCATGATGAATAGCCTAGGCTAATGACCTGTACGTCAATAGCTTATCCTGGAGTAGAGGAAGCGTCCAGGACGGGGTACCTCTCGGCACCGAGGAAAGGCTTATCTCGGGGACCGAGGGAGGTATGCCGACCGAGGTACATATCAGACCGAGGCCACGTGTCGGTTGTAAAATATACTGAATGTATGATCCTATATGACGGTACCTCGGGGGCGAGGACATTCATGCGCCGATGGTGCTTGATCTTAGCAACAGTGTTCTAGTAAAACCGAGGACACGTGTCTTCATCATAGGGTATTTCAGAAAAGTCCCATCAACTGCCCCCCAGCCTTCGATCTTCTGACACCGAGGACACGAGTCGTAAGGAGACGAAGGGTTTCCCAACAACCACCAGTACTTCATCATTGCCTCGAGCCGCTTTCGCCGGCTTGGGTTGTCGTGCGCATTAAATGCGCCGTTTCATTTTTCGTGCCCAATGATGAAAATTGCCTCTATATAAAGAGGGCTCCTCTTCCGTTTTCCTCATTTTGCCATTTCGAACTTCCTCAAGAGAGCCTCTTCTTGAATCTTCGCCGGAGTTTTGTTTCTTCTTCCATCGTCGACTGCCCATTCTTCCTTAAAATCTTAAAGCCAGCAGACCCATCGTTGATTCTGAACTTTCTGGAGGGAGTCGCTTTAAGGTTTTCCAGAAAAAACTCCGTTTTGACATTCGGGTGAGTTTCAGTATCCTCTTTCTTTTCTTCCTCCTAGCTTTTTGTTTTCCGATTGACTGGAGGTGTCATCCGGTTGATACATAGCGATTTAACCCTCGGAAAACTTCCTCAGGGATTTTCAAGAACAAATACCCTCTTCTTTCTTACTTTTTTAGAGATGCCTCGTCGTCGCCCTACTCCCGAGAATCCTCAGGCTGGTCCTTCGGGGTCGGGGAAATATAAAGTGAAGGGTGATGAGCAGATTGATAGGTTTAAGGTCAAGTACGGTATTCCCCCGTGCGTAGACGTAGAGGATTATGACCCTGTGTTGCACTCTTCTACCCTCGGGGCCGAGGATGCCATGCCCTTTTATACCAAGGCCATAATAGAGGGAGGAATTAGGTTTCCTTTACCCCCCTTACTTCTTCAGTTCCTTTCTCACTTTTGCCTCTTCCCTGGGCAATGTTGCCTTAATATTTTCCGAATAATTATGGGGGTCTTAGAGCTCAATAGGCGCCTCGGGGTAAATATTGGGCTCAACAATCTCCTTTTTTGTTATTCCCTCCTGAGAGTCATGCATCACCAACACTTCTACCTCAAAGCCAGGGACCCCTCCATGTACCTTGTAACTCATCTTTCGGACTCGGACAAGGGGTACAAGGATGATATTCTTATCTTCAAGGGATCTTGGCAGAGAGGTGTTGGTCCCGAGTATAATGACTTGCTATGCCCTCTAGAATGGAGAACGACAAGTACGTCGGTTCCTTTGGGTTTATTATTTTTTTCTCCAGACTTCTCATGTTCATGACTATTTTGTTTGTGCAGATATTCCTGCTCGGGAAACAGCTCCTCCCCCTCGGTCGCTGGTGAACTTTGCCGACCTAATCACGATTTGGAGATTCACGGGTGACAACGGGTTTGGCCGTGCTGCTCACATCCTGCTGAATTATACCCCCGGGTATAAGAAATTTTCACAGCTTGGAGGAAGACTTGGAGGAAGACCCGGATCGGGCTTCGGAGGCAGAGGTAGAGGGAGTTGCTGAAGAGCTCGGGGTCAGAGAGGACGTTGTTCCTTCGGACGTCGAGGTGGGGACTTCGGGAGGAGACTTGTGGCCAGACTTCCAAGTCCTACAATCTTTAGACGCCGAGGACGCCCTCGAGGTAGCGATGTCCAACACCCCTCGCATTGATTTGGGATTCCTGAGGCAGAGGCAAGCCCTCGCAGCCGGGAGGGGTCGAGGATCGACCGGCGGTACCCCCTCTGCAGGGACCAGTTCCACCCCATCCTCAAGGGTTCTCAGTCGGGGTCAGGTGCGAGACCGGGATCCTCAAGTGGAGGAGGAGAGAATGGTCAAACATCGGCATGATGGCCCCGGCCGGGGATCCAGGGCACCTTCCGCTCAGCAGCAAAGCGGGAGAGGCCGTGGGTTA